AGCTCATTGCCCTGGTCTTACCTTTGGCGTTGAAGTAGCACTCCCCGCTGGCAGAGGGGGCCACACCACGCAGAGCCACACTGATCCAGCACAGACCCAACAGAGCCACTGTCTGGCTGCCCTTCGCCTCCATCTCTCTGCGACAGTCCGAGCCCGACCCGCCTGCACTCCCGACTCCAGTCCGAGATGCATATTTATACCCTCCTCTCCCTTTCGTAAATATTTACCCCGCTGCCCTCCCTTTGTGCCTGTGGCTATTGTGCGGTACAGTGTACACACTGTGGGGAGGGTAGATAACAGCACTGCAGCCTGACCGTTGTGTGTCAGCTCATCACACACTCCGATACAGACACACTAATACACAGTCTGACACCGATACACACACACACGCTGATACAGACACACACTGATACATTTACTGATACATACACACACTAACACACTGACACACACTAATGCACACACTGACACATATAGACCGACACTGACACACACACAGTGGAGAGGAGAAGAGAGGGGACACCAGTGGGTGTGGAGAAGAGAGGGGACACCAGTGGGTGTGGAGAGGGGAGAGGGAAAGGAGAACAGAGGACAGGGGAACAAAGCAAATCAGGGCAGGAATGAATAGAGCTTTGTTGAGGTCAGAGTGGTGTGTGTGCATGTGTGTGCATGGGGGATATCTCTGCCTGTGCAGATCTCCATCTGTGTTTGAGCAGCGCCGATAAAACACATATACACACATCTCCACACACACACTGACGCAGCGCCGCTCTGTCCAGGGGGAGAGGGGGAGGTGGGGTGACCCACTGACACGGACCCGATAGATTCCACCTGTCCCCAGGCCAGAAGCCACAGGTGTGGCCCAGGTGCCAGGGGGTGAAAGGTCACAGGGAACAAGAGGGGAACCCAGAAGCCCACCCCCAGTTAAAAACACTGTTTTGGAGAGTGGAGAGCCCAGTGTACATGTTGCTGGTTGCCCTCAGTCAGAGAAGACACTCAAACTTCTGGTGCACTATGGCTGCCGTCGCATCATCCAGGTGGGGCTGCACGCTGGTGGTGGTGGAGGGGATCCCCATTACCTGTAAAGCGCTTTGAGTGGAGTGTCCAGAAAAGCGCTATATAAGTTATTATTATTATTATTAAACTTCAAGATGAGAAACCCAGGCAGAAATGGTCGAAGAGGACCCGAGAGAAGGCAGTAACACTCAATATCACCTTGCTTGGTTACTCTATTTATTTAGAATTGATCTGTTACAGAACTGAACAGCTGCTAAGTCATTTCAGTGCCTAAATCCCTCTGCTGTTATACAGAGACACTATATATAGAAAAATAGCAACAGGAGGAAAACAATCATTTTCTTTTGTCTTGTACAGAACAGAGAGAGACATCATGAGAGGAAAGAGGTAGAGAACAGAGGAAGAGACAGGAGGAGAGAGAGTGAGAGAAAGACAGTGAGGGAGAGAGACAGTGAGATAGAGAGAGTGAGAGAGAGAAACAGTGAGGAAGAGGAAGACAGTGAGGATGAGAGAGACAGAAAGGAGATAGTGAGGGAGATAAAGTCTGCAGTCACAGTCTATGGAGCTGAGATCGGGAGTCTCTGCCAATCCAGGGCCACTTCTGCTAATCTAGATCTTAATTAGTCAATTAAAAACATTCCTCCTGGTGACGGAGCGCAGGCGATGTTGTCACACGCGCACGCAGGGCAGAGTGGGTGAGGGGTCTCAGTGTGGTCATATGGAGGGCACAGAGGGGTCAGCCTTCAGTCACCCGGGTGGGTGGGGGAGAGAGACAATTTGGAAGGAGAAAGACAGAGGGGGGGTGAAGGAGAGAGGAACAGAGGCCGCGATAATGAAGGAGTGTCTTGGTCAGCACCAGGACACTGACCCCCCCCACAGGACCAGATCACACCAGCCCACACGACAGTGGACCGTGTTCCGAGTTTCCGATGGCCTGTAGCATCAAGGC